ATCTATGTGTCTTCAAGTGACGACAATTTGTCTCATATAAAATGCTGTGAAGATTGTGTCAGCCCTGAGAGTGAAACTTCCGTTCCTCCAACCACAGATAATGTCATTGATCAAGGAACCAGCCCTGAGCTCTGAATCCCATCACCTTGTGTGTGCAGAACCCTCAGTGTCTGAGGGGTACTCTCACCCAGTCATTACGAGTGGCAGTTACTTGGTCTGTGCAGGTTCTAGGGCCCGCAGGCTCCTCTGAAGGGTCTATGATGACATTGGCCTTCCCGGACCTTCCTCCTTGGACTGCACCGCAGTTTGGGAAATGCAGAATCCCACTTCCCCCCTAGTCTCCTGTATTGGTCCTGTTTACACTCTAGGCTTAGAGACCATCTTCATTTGATCTCATAAAGGTGTTATACCAATAAAACTCACTCACATTTTGTCGCATCTGTGTATTTACTTCTTGTAGGATAAAGACTTAAAAATCACTTTCATGAAGTTTTTGAGAGTATAAGCATTTCTAATTGGCAAATATAAACTACATAACAGCCATGGAACAGGTGGTCTTGCTGAACTAGAGGCAAAGAACATGGGCTAGGAGAGAATGAGACATCAGATCAGTCCTGAGTCTCATGTACACAGTCATGTGTAGAAGGGATTCCAACATGTGAACTTGAGGTGGGAAGTTCATTCTGCTATTATATGTTGCAGACTCTGACTTAGCCATTTTCTTGGCTCCAACTTGAATCCAAAGGAGTGTCAGAATTTGGGAATCCTTCTCAATGAATCCTCTGCCCTGAGTCTTAACTTCCACTAGCAGATTACTCTGTCTCTCAAGCCATCACAGGGAGATTTTGATCTTCTGGCCTTTCAGCTAATAGATGAGTGGTTAAGTGTTAGCACTATCTAGGAACTCTGTCTGTCCTGAGTGTGACAGGAATCATGTCTCCTAGTTTCCTTCAGCTTCCTCAGAACCCTGATGCTGGGAACACTCACTGAGTCTTTCCCTTCATAAGGGATGACTACTTTTCCATATATATATAAATGCTTCCTTCTGTTACAACACAAATTTTTTATTTACTAAATATCACTAGGTGGCATAGAATCATAAAAATAGAGAGAATCCCTGGGGGTATTTTGAGATGTGGAATGAGGGATTTCATTGCTGATGTGAGACGGAATTTAGCTGAAAGTAAAAATAACAGGTAAATATTTACCTATGTGTTTACTGACTTTGGAAAACATTCAACTATGTTGTTGTTGTTGTTGTTATGTGCTGTCGAGTCAGACCTGACTCGTAGCGACCCCTCCTTGGGTTTCTGAGGCAGTATCACTACAGAAGTAGATTGCCCCATCTTCCTTCCAAGGAGTAGCTTGTGGTTTTGAACCTCCAGCCTTCTGGTTACCAGTTAAGTGCCTTAGGCACTACGCTACCAGATCATAACAAATTGTGGATAACATTGGGAAGAACTAGAATTCCAGAACTCTTAATTTTGCTCATGAGGAACCTCTATATAGACAAAGAGGCTGTCCTTGGAACAGAACAAGGGAATACTGCATGGCTTAAAATCAAGGAAAGTGTGGCCCAAGGTTGTATCCTTTCACCACATTTGTTCAACATGTATGCTGAGTGAATGGTCGGAGAAGCTGGAGCACATGGAGATTTATGTAGCATCAGGATTGGAGAGAGACTCATCAACCAGCTGTGACATGCACATGAGGCAGCCTTGCTTGTAAAATGTGAAGAAGACTTGAAGCACTTGCTGATGAAGATCAAAGAATAAAGTCTTCAGTATGGAGTACAGTTCAACATAAAGAAAACAAAAATTCTCACAAGTGGACCAATAAGCAACATTATGATATATAGGAAACATGTTGAAGTGATCAAATATTTCAGTTTACTCAGATCCACAAACAACACTAATGGAAGCAGCAGTCAAGAAATGAGAAATTTCATTGCATTTGGCATATGTATTGCAAAAGACCACCTTAAAGTGTTGAAGATCAAAGATGTCACTTTGAAAACTGTTGTTGTTAGGTACCATCGAGTTGGGTCTGACTCATAGCGACCCTGTGCACAGCAGAATGAACACCGCCTGGTGCCATGTCAGCTCCATAATCCTTGCGACAGTTGAGCCATCGTAGTAGCCACTGTGTCAATCCAACTCGTTGACGGCCTGCCCATCTTTCGTCCACACTCCACCTTGCTAAGCATGTCATTCTTCTCCAAGGAATGTCTTAAAAATGGGAAAATACAATATAGTGACTTCTTATGAAGTTAAGGTTATTCCTGCCATATTTGAAATAAGTTTGACTGCTATCCATTTTCTCACAATAATGAAATAATACTACTGAAAAAAAAAAAAAAAATGACATGATTACTTACAGAAGATTTGTCATGTTAGCAATTATGTGGGCCCAGTTTCAAATCAATTAATGGGAGAAAAAATTATTGAGCAAAAGAATTCAACACAAAAAAGAGTATTTTTTTTTTATTTCATTTAAATGAAGTTTTGAAAATACTGTGTTTTGAACAAGCTATGAAACTACCACCTGTGGATAGTTTGAATAAACGGAATTTATTGTCTCACGTTTGGGGAAGTTGGGAGTCCAAATCAGAATATTGATTCTAAAATAAGGTCTTTGTCTTCAGATACGTCCAGGCAAAGACAAATCCTGTAATCCTGTATACAGTCATATATATATACTGAATAATAAAAAGCAATGAAATATTGTATAGATAGATAGATATAGTGAGAGTGAAGAAAAAACACCACATGCACAGAGGATGAAGCAGTGGAGGGTCTCTAGAGAAATTCCTGCACAGGAAGAGGAAACCACATATTCTAAAAGAAACCTAACCCTTCTCCCTCCCTCTGGACCTGCCCTGGTTTGGTCCCCTGAGCAGTGTGGTCCTGAGCACC